CTCTATACTAATGGCGAGTATTGTTTTAAAGCGATCAAGAACACATAAGAATATTATCTTAATTTGGATTTTGGTAATTATCTTTGCTTATTATTTACAGAAAAACATCCTAAAATGGGAAAAGGACCCTCCTTCGTTTCTCTCCCTCTTCGCTATTGTGTTTCAAATCGTAAACAGCTGCACCTAAGGGAGAAGTCGGAGCTAAACAACAACTTGCAGGTGTTCTAATCTAAACAGGAATCACAAACTGTCACAGTCATCCTACTCAGTAGTATAGGAAATTAAAGAAACACAGGCGTAAATTAAATTCGATGAAAAACTAAACCATTTTATTTGTACGAAATAAGTAAACAATACAAGTAACACAATACGTGGACTTCGTACTTGACCTACTTGTTGATAATCGTCAAACTTGCGGAGGGTCCCTCAAGTTGCTTATAGCGAAAATGCACTAAATTAAATTTCAATTTTAATTTGATTTCAATCCTTTTAAATTATTTAAACCACGACGAAACTTTTTTTGGGAAGACTTGCGTATTTATTATACTGTATTTTCCGGTAAAATATTTAGTTTTACGGCGAGTTTCAAATTTAATCTTTCCCGTAACTAAAATAATAATAATTAGAGGAGAAGGTGGTATTATGGAACCCCAATTACATTTTAGTGAATTGTAAACAAGGTATCATAACTATACCCACATTTTTTGTGCGAAAAGTACTGGTAACTAGTAATTTAAATGTTCCTAATTAAATTTTTCGCTAATGTAACTATAAGTATGGTTTTTTTAAGGTTTTTGTACAAAAAGCCCGAAAGTAGGCTTAGAGAAAATCGGGTGGTAATATGGAACCTTACTGTATATTTTCAAAAAAATGCATTAATGTAGCCAAAAACAAATAGGAAAGTACAAAAAATGTTAAATAATTACCATATTATTTACTCCAATGTATTTTATCGCAAAAATGCTTTTATAATAGAAAAATATGACCTCCATCAACAATATATATTCCAGCAGCTTTTTTTCGATATTCTTGGGAAGAACTGACTTTCTACCTAGTGTCTTTTTCAGAAATTGCTCCAGACGAATGTCTGCTTGCAAAGAGAGAGTTCGGAGAAGTTGAGTTTTATATTACTGTAAAAACACCAATGGGGTCCGTATTTCACGCATGGCCATCTTGAATTAACTTATGTCTGTCGAGACCAAAATTTAAGAAATGTGAACATTACACAGATTAATATGTACCCCTAAGTCTCTGGAACGGAATACAGGCATCAGTGAACCTACAACTACACGATTTATATTTTAAAAATAATTAAATTCACTTAGCATTCAAAACTTGCGAATTTTGAAAAAACAAATTTGCTGATTAAATACGGACAACCGTTTAAATGAAGTAAAACGGGTTTTCCCCTTGCTATGGATATCAGCCTAGTTCAGTTCAGCCACATTCCGCTACAGTTTGCTTTTATTATCAGTTCGAAATGGGGTGGTTCCATAATACCCGCAGTGTTCCATAATACCACCTTCTCCTCTACTTTCAAAACTTGCCTTCTGAATCAGAAATTACTTGCGGTGGTTCGTCCATTAACGTTTGACTAAACAAATTCAAGATGAGTCGAATGAATGGATGAACAGGCCACTGTAGCACAGAGCATGCAGACACGTGGTTTACACGTGACTGGAAACCATGTTGCCAGGTATTTCTAGCTTTTGTAGCAAAATTCAAGTAGCCGACTCAAAAAAATTTTTTATTATAAATAACCCTATTATTTAGTTTAAAAGTTGACTAATAATAGATTATTTTATTAAACCAATGTGAACATTGAAACAGAAAACATTATATTAAATAATAGAACATAAATGTCTAAATCCCAAAGTACAGAAAGTAAACTAGAGAAACAAATTAAAATATTAAATATATGGTATTTTGGATGATAAATTTAATAAGTAAAGTTGTTTTAACTTTACTTTAATCCTTATTAAATTTTAACACAGGGGGAACCGAACTGATAAAAGGTATTGATGATCCCAAAATGCACATAGTTTTTTTTTTAACTCTCCGCCCTATGAGCACTAAGATAGCCTTTTTAACGAGCTCATTAAGGGTTCGGCCAGGCCTATAATGCGGCAGTCGGGTTGTGAGGGACAGGGCCCGACTACTCCAAAAAATTCATGGGGCATTTCGATCCGTCCGCTTATGATCCGGATCCCCAAAGCGGCAGGCTGCAAAAGTGTATTTAAATAATTTTGCCCTAGTAAGTTTTTAACAAAATCAACTATCTTGAAATTCGAAGAATTGCCATAACTCAAATAGATGCTGTATTGAACTCACTTCCCTTTTTGCTCAGCCTGCTGATCTTCAGCCATTGATCCCTATACACACTGGCGGCTAATTACAGAACGATTCCGTAGCGTAGTTCTGTTTTTCACCACGAGATGTCGCCACTTCGTGAGGTCGAGAAGCTGGATAAGAATAATTATAATTTACTGTCTGTTGTGACGTCACTGAACGCAATCGGTGTAAGTACACAACAGTCAGAATTAATTTATTACAAGCAAAATTTGCTACTTTGCAAATTTGTCTTTCGTCTAATACAGTATTTAATGTTTATACAGTCGATCCCCCTATAACACTGTCGATAATTCCGTTTTATGTGAATTTCATGTTGTACGAGTCACTTAGATTTTACAAATACGTGAGCCGTTCACAGCCCGGCACACGTATTTGTAAAATCTAAGTGACTCGTACAACATGAAATTCACATAAAACGGAATTATCGACAGTGTTATAGGGGGATCGACTGTATAAACATTAAATACTGTATTAGACGAAAGACAAATTTGCAAAGTAGCAAATTTTGCTTGTAATAAATTAATTCTGACTGTTGTGTACTTACACCGATTGCGTTCAGTGACGTCACAACAGACAGTAAATTATAATTATTCTTATCCAGCTTCTCGACCTCACGAAGTGGCGACATCTCGTGGTGAAAAACAGAACTACGCTACGGAATCGTTCTGTAATTAGCCGCCAGTGTGTATAGGGATCAATGGCTGAAGATCAGCAGGCTGAGCAAAAAGGGAAGTGAGTTCAATACAGCATCTATTTGAGTNATGTTTGTATTGTAGCTTTAAAAGATGATTATTGTTCATTATTTTTATCAAAATATTTAAAATTATACAGTATATTATAAAAGTTATTCTACAGAATAAGTAGATTTTCGTTCTGAAATTCTTTTAATCTCAAGATTTTCCTGCTGAATTTTTAATCTCTTACTCGAAATGTTTGTTTTTTGCATTATTTAATAAAATTATTCATTGCCTTTTAGAAATAATTTAAACGTTTTATACTAGAGAATTTTCTCCGTAGGCATCTTTATTTGGTTTTCACGAGATTTTAAAAAAACCTAACCCTGGCGAATACCAGGAGTTAAGTGTATCTTGTGTAATTTGAGAAAAGTCTTTCGAATTAATGGTTTAAATCCATCAACAAATTATCCTCTTCAGTAAAATATTAGTGAACTTTTTGTAGCCTCATTTAACAGATTCGCAATCATTTATTTTAACGTTTCATCCTAAAACTTGCCTCGGGCCGGCACTAGTCTCAATTAAGAATGCTGACAAGTGAAAGTCTTTTATAACAGAAATTTGAAAGGCAGAAGTATTGTTTCTGATTGTTTCTGATATTATTTAAAATACAATTAAAATAAGAAAAATAATTTAAAAATTAGATAAAAGTATTATTAATCTAAATTGCATTTACTTGAAATTGCAATACGATTTTCCTGATTATTTGCAAAGTATTCGAAAAAATGCGTACTTTTAATTCAAAGAAACGAACGATATTTCTTTAGTATGAATTCATGATTATAAATGAATGAAAGAAATTTACGTAATTAATACGAACAAAGTATATATTAGAGAAAATTTTGTAAGCCATCCACAAATAGATAACTTTGTAAACTTACAATCGGATGGCCGAGTGGTCAAGGTGGACTCGGGATCTAATCCGGACGAGTCGAGGAAACCCCAGGAATTTTTCGGAGGTTGATCCGTTCGGATATGTCGAGCCCCGTCCCTCATCAGCCCGTCGTCCCATCGTGGGCCTAACCGAACCCATAATGGGCCTGCTAAAAGATGCCCTCTTAGTGCCCATAAGGCGGAAAGAGTTAAAGAAAATCAATAAAGTAACATTAGAAATTATGCATTTTCGTGCATTTTTGTTTCGTTAATGGGAGCTAATGTTGCAAAATGGCCACCATCCCAGAGATTAGGAAAGATTCCCCAAATCGCTACAAAATCTATCGCTAGCTTTTTCCTATAGATATGTCAACGATGTTGTCTACGTTAACGTGTCTGCCAAAAAAAATCTGCCAGATTTACGACAAAATACTGCTTTTGCCACCCAACTCGTCGAATGTAAACGTGCACGCTCGTGTATGGCGATATCTTAACTGTGTAGCCATACGCTACACGACACTCGGTTCCCACACAATGTAAATTTCTGTAAATCGTTTAAAAACTTCCTTATCGATGGATGAGTGACAGGTTTTCCTTTAATAAATACATTGATTGTATTAATTATACAAATTTAATTCTTATTTTTTAGTTTATACTAATGTATACGTAATATTGTACGTGTTTAATGCGTGTGTCAACTATTATACGAAAAATATATTAGAATATCATTAAAGAAATTTCAACTGTCATATATTTCGTATGCTCTACACACCCGAATAACTAAAATTATTATTACATTTGTATACAAAAAAGAGTCTATCATGTTTTGTTTATGCTTCGTGGAATAAATTTAAAAATTTTTCCGATATACTTTATAATAAATTGAACAGTAAACACTTGAAAGGCACAATAATTTATTGTGTGAAAAATGCAACACAAAGATTAACGACTTTTAGTTGCAATCAAGCTCATAAATTTTGAAAATAATAATAACAAACCGAAAATAAAACATTTTCATAGAGAAAAATATAAAAACAGATGTTAAAAGGTGTGCATTCCAATTTTCTATTTCTCAAATTTAAACAAAAATTCCATTCTTTCAGATCAAATGGAAGTAACTCTTTGTTTCATTCAAAATAAATTTTGCTGATGCCTTATACATTTTATTAAAAAGAAGCTTTTATCTTTGTGAAAAAATAGCATTTCTCATGCCACGATTCATTATTTTGTTACTTAATCGAACTATTATTGAAGGCTAACAGATTTCTGTTTTACTATTTCAATTTCCACTATGTTGGTTTCTTCCCTTGCAGAGACAAGTACGGTGATTATGTCTCCACGCAGGAACACCTTGCCAATTCCTTCTTATGTCTTTCGCTTTTTTCCTCGCAGAGACAAGTACGGTGATTATGTCTCCACGAAGGGACACCGTGACAATTCCTCTGATAACCTGCGCTTACATTCCTCTGATAACCTTCGATAACATTTTAATGACATCTCCAGGAATGCATTAGAAATTATTTTTCGCTCTGTTTTTATTAAGCATTAATAATTCGGCCGAAAGTATAGAGCAGATTATATGATGGCGCCTGCCGATGAAAGTTGCACACCAGATATTTGGACTCAATAAGTTTGTAATGTGCCTTCCTTATAATTGTAAGAACAATAAATTTTTCTAATAATATTGAAAAAAGTATAACTTTTTTTTGTTGTTTTTTTTAGGTAAACGGAATGTAACGATTAAAATGTAGACGATGATGTACATTCCGCCATTTTACTTTTTTTTTTGAAACAAGAGCAGATGATTAATGGAAATCTGCGGAAAAAATCCACAAAAACATCGAAACATTTAGTCGTTTCCTGCAAATAATAAAAATGTTACATAAATAAAATATGAAAATTAATTAACAGCAGGTTAATTATAGAATCATATGTATAGAATCATTGTGAATACAAGAGAGAAAACGAGTTTTAAAATTGATATTTAGCGAGAAACGAGAATGAATTCATAAGTGTAAATTAGGCAAAGTTAGAAAATATTTTCTTACTTTATCATCATCATCCGATTCACTTTTGTATGTAAATCTATCATTAGTATTTCTTCTTTTATTCAATCGACTTAATTTTTACATCTGTTTATTTTGATTCTTTTCTATAAAAATAATTTAAGAATTTAACTTTATGTAATTTTATATCGTAATGCCTACACCTATTCAAACACATTCATTATAAAGTTTATGTAGAAATATATCTCTGAATTTCTATATAAACTGTATAAGAAGTTAGAAAGTAGTATTATTGTGTAAACAGTGAGGTAATGCAATATAATTACTATGTTAATAAATGTCAAATCGGATTTCTTCCATTGTAAATAAATCAAAGAATCAAAAATATAATACGCTCAATATTAATACAAAACTCCGTGTGCCTTTTACGGATTATCGGTTTTTTAAGTGTATTTGGATATAGGCGTACACTACGACCTTTATTAATTACACCGGATGTCGGTAATTATAATTTTAACAAATTTATATATAAAAATTAGTGTTGTAACGAATAGTATATTCGGCCTCGGGCCGAATACCGAATATTCGGCCAGGAGCGTGGCCGAATAGCCGAATATTCGGCCAAACTATTAGGCTCGATTAACGCACGTACGAAAATTGGCACGCAAACCGCATTATTTTTTTTTAAGGCCTCTTCCCGTTCTGAGAGCACCAAGAGGCCAAGAACTATCAATGAGAAATCTAAAATGTATTCTAATGTGTAATGCAAAGAAGGAGTGAAACGTATAGATACTATTTAAGTAAGTGTTGCCTGCAGAGCATGGGTAGTTGCATTATGGCAAGGACCCAGCTCTCTATTCGCCCGCTGTCATTACGCTTCGCCAATCGCGTTAATTCTTGACAGTTGTAGTGGACAGACAAGAGCGTCATGGCAGTATGTGAAAAATGACGATATCAAATGTGGATAACAATGAAATGACCTAAACGTGTAAATAACGGAAAAAGAAGAGAGGACAGCGAAGTGAAAATGTGAAAATAAATATGAAATTGAGTCGATAACATAATCGAACAAGTCGAGGCAGCTTATTGACGCGAAATTTGCGGCCGTCAATGCCAAAAAACTGTTGTCGTAGAATTCGGAAAGCTAAATGCTTGTAATGAAAGTCACTTAGAATGCACAGCCGAAAGCCTGGTGCCTCTCGGGCTACCGAGCTGTCTCGAATCTGTGAAATCATAACTGTGACTTATACCAATATCCTATCTGTTTCTTTTCTCCGTTATCACCAGGCTACGAGTCACGTAATTGTAAAATGGCAAATCTACGACGAAAAAGTGACGAATCGAAAGTATCGTGAGCGCGTATTATGATGTATGCATAGGCATACGTGGACTAGAGCGATAGAGAAAAAAAGAAAGGGAAGAGCAAAGACGAGTGCTTAAAAAGAAGGATAGGCAGGGTCAGACCCTCGGATGTGCGACGATTCTCGAATGAATAGGTGTGTACGTGTGCTGATCTTTGTAATTATAAATTGTGAATACATGTGACTATTATTATTTTCTTTTTTATTTTGTGCATGTTATAAGTTATAAATAAATATAAACAAGCAACACTAACTCGATAACATTAAATCTAAATACCAAAATGATTAATTTACTGTGTTTTTGTTATTTGTTACTCCTGTTTTCAGGTATTCGGTATTCGACCGAATAGCGAAAAATAGGCCGAATAGGCCGAATGCCGAATAGTAACCGAATATTCGTTACATCACTAGTAAAAATTATACACAAGTTTCGTGTTTCATTTCAATAGAATTCGAATTTAGTCCTCGATGTCTGAGTTCTACATTTATACACTGTGTTTACGTCACACACTCAAAGAATGCGGAGAAAGTTTAAGTATGAAAATAGAAACGAATTGTATAGAAAATTGTAAACTCGTAAAAATTGTAAAGCGTGTAAACTCTTCATAAAAACCCAGACTATGCTCGAGCCGTGATAAGTGACCCATTTCTATTTTTTTACCTTTAGCCATCGAAAATAAATGCTTACGATGCCCCTTACCGTGAAAATTTCGGTTTGTAATGTTTAACTATCCAGAGACATTAAACGCATTAGACGTGAATAAACACACACACATATTTCGTTTTTTTTTTACTTCTTCTGTTCGGAGGTGTCACAACCATTCCAAAAACCTCCAAGGTCAAATAATATAACAACCGGAAAAATAAAGTTTATTCAATTGTATTAAAATTATTGGTAATTTCTCGACATATACTTTAAAGGATAAATTAATTTACAATTAAATTTGATACGAGAAGTGACCAAGACGATGAATCATTTCGTCAATGTTAAGGTAGTGTTTGTGGCAATTATTTTATTTGTTGGTTTACTCCTAATTAATCATGTTTACTAGTGAATATTTATATAATGTGGTTGAAATTGTTATTTAAACAGTAAGAAAATTCATCATCGAAAGTGTTTTTGACGAAATAAATGTAATCTTTGTAGAAACGAAAGATCTATTTTTGAATTGTTTCGAATATAATAAACTACGACATACAACAGACGTGAAAGACTGCAAATGGATTACTAATATTAAGTTTTATAATTTAAATAAATTTGAACAAAATGAGTTTAACATTAAAAGATTTCTTAATAATTTTTAACAAATTATTTTAAAATTCTTTATAATCTTTTTGTAACCTCACCTTCAACCAACACCTCCACTTCTTCGTTTTCTTCATATATTATTTTTTTCACTAATGAATGCTCCTCTAAAAATACAAACTCCTTCTTCAAAAGTCTGTTTTCTGACCGAGTACTTTCCAAAAACCAGAAATCATCTTCCTCTTCATCATCGGAATCCTGTAAAAAGTGAAAAGTTCTCATTCCTGATAGAATAATCTTACAGTAGTCGAAAT